CCATTTTTTTGAATATATGAATGTTTATGACCTGTAATATGAATTTTTTTATCTTCAATTTATAGAATAGAAAGCGTTGTTGGATGCCCCGTCTATTATGGTTGCATAGGATTTTTTGATCTTTCACGTCCTTTATTTTTGTAAGTTACACGGATGTTTTTTGTTTGAAGCACTGTAGGTGCAAGTTGCCCGTAGTTATTCTCAAAATGACCTTCAATCGAGACAAGCGTATAGGAGTGTCTTTGACATTTTATCAAATAACTTTTCGACTTGGCTGCATTCATCTCATTTTATGTCAGCTAGCTAGTCACGCTGTCTTTGTAATGTATCGCAATTGGTACGATGCTTGCTTCGACTCGTTGTGTGATATTGATGACTCAAATGATTGGTTTAGTTTGTGTTGACTTCAATTTTTTGGGTTAATTTCTCTTATTCGGTTTTTTTATTGTACTCAAGCAGGGCAATGTTGATTTTAAACAATGATTATTACTTTAACGAGCTTAGTACCGTAGTGTTTCAGTACTAACCTTCGTTTTTTCCTAGCTAACTGGCACATAAAAGTGTTCATTTATTTGGCGGCAGTTTTGCTATAATCACGATCTGTAGCATTGGAAATTTCATAGCATCTGTTATCTGCTTCATTTGTGGCTAGTGTTTGTGATTTATTAATGGTCCGTGACTGATGGTTAGCTAGGTCGAAGATCGAATCGGTGACGTAGCCGAATTTTTACCAATTCGAGGCTGATTTCTACTTTTATTGAACTTGAAGTTGAATTCATTTACCAGCTGCAGTGAAAAGTTATATACCTGCCTGGAGGGGTCATTGAAGAGTATTTCAACTCAATATAGAGCTGCACTTTATAGACTTTTTGTCATGTTCTCGCTGTGTCCAACTTCGTTTTCTCACAGATAATTTTGTTTCGTTCGTTTATTTCATTCAAATATTAACAATAAAAATGGAAGCAAAAAAATTAGATCTGAAAATTCAAGTCTGAAGGAATTTCAAGGCTTACAATCTGAAAAACTGGATTTTATTCCGACCACTGAAGGGTGGGGAAGAACATTGTCTTCGGGTTTATTTTTAAAAAAATCCCCGCAAAATCAGTTGCCACAATTAATTATTTGAATGGGTCCATTGATTTATAGTTTGACAGCATTCCTGCCAGTCGTGATTCGAACGACATCAAAAATTTTCCTCGTTATCGAAAAAAAAGTTTTCGAAGTTTTTAATTTTTGGTCTGATTTCGAGCAAATAAAAAAACAAGCGATTATGGTTTTTATCTTCAAATTGGTTAGATAAGCTACAAAAAACTTTGTTGTATTGTTTGACCAATTACTAAAATATCATGTAGCACTCATTTTTTTGACCTTAAAAAGAGAATAACCCAACAAAAATAGTCAAATAAGGGAATAGCTGATTTTTAAGCGTTCTTCTAGCTTCTCTCTCCGCGCCGCTTACAGAAAGCGGCTTTAAGGTAAAAATTATGTTCGGTCAGATCATTCTGCGTGGCTGTCTTTCTGCCCTGTTTTTGTGTTCGTTTTTCCTTAAAAGTCACTTGAAATGCGAATTTATAAACTTTCTTATGCGCATTAGTTGAAGCAAATTATATAATTTTCATTTTTCGATTTATTGGCTTCCAAGTTGTTCTCAATTTCAAGTGCTGGTTATTTCAAGAACTTTATCTTCAACAAAATTTTTTCTACTCATTTTTTGCTTTGAGTTCGCAAGGTGGCAAATATATACATCACCTCTGTGTAAGTAACGTTCAGTATTGATATAGTTGAAGTTCTTCCCCTTTATACCCTTTTTTCCATTTTTCTCTAAAAACCATTTAAAAATGAGTTATTAAGTTGCTTTTGCGCTTTCACTGAAGCAGAATATACGAGTTCCCTTCTTCAATGTTGATGACTCCTAAGCGTTTTGTCAAATTCGTGTGCTGGTAGTTTTTATGATTTTAACTGCAACAGGATTTTTTGTTTCATTCTTCTAATCAATTGGCTCTTAAGCTTTTTGTCAAATTCATGTGCTGGCAATTTCAAGAAATTTATCCGTAACAACGTTTTGCTAATTTTTTTGTTTTGTTGAGTTCGCAAGGTGGAAAATATAGGCTTCGCCTCTGTGTGAGTCACGTTCTGTATTGATATAGTTACGTTCTTCCCTAAAGACAATTTAAGGTTTGAGTTTTTGACTTCTTCTATTTTTTTCCTAATTTGTTGACTTAGTTTTTTGTCAAATTCATGAGCTACAGTGCTGATTTAAATTAACCGGACAAAACGCGTTAAACTTGAAATTTAAAACGCGTTTTTCTCAAATTGGATTGAGTTTAGGAGAAAACTCATGAAGACAAAACTTGCTTAAAATTTTAGCAGAATTAATATGGTGTAATTTGTTTTGCAAAATTCGGGTCCGAAATTTTACTCCAAAAATGGGTCATTTTGGCTTTTCTTAGTTAATCAAAAATTACGCCAAAAATACCCAGTCGATCACAGACATAATTATATCAAAGTGAGCCCCTTACGTAGCCCAACAAACTTTAAGAAAGGTATTTTTTCCAAAAAAAAATTCAAATTGTTTAAAAATTGTTTTTAAATAAAAAGTTGGTATTTTATATAGTAAAAATGACCTTTTTGGTCTATCAAACAAAATTAAATTAACTTATACAATTTTTTGGAGATTATACCCTTCTTAAAGTTTGTTGAGCTACGTAAGGGGCTCACTTTGAATAATTATGTCTGTGATCGACTGGGTATTTTTGGCGTAATTTTTCATTAACTAAGAAAAACCAAAATGACCCATTTTTGGGGTAAAATTTCGGACCCGAATTTCGCAAAACAAATTACACCATATTAATTCTGCTAAAATTCTAAGCAAGTTTTGTCTTCTTAAATTTTCACCTAAGTTCAACGCAATTTGAGAAAAACGCGTTTTAAATTTCAAGTTAAACGCGTTTTGTCCGGTTAATTTAAATCAGCACTGTACCTTCAAGAAATTTAACCGCAGCAAGATTTTTCTCATTTTTTTTTCATATCTCAATTTGGGAAACAGATAGTTCACCTTTGTAGGTAACTTTCTAAGTTGATGTAGTTGACATTCTTCCTCTTTCTGCCCCCCCCCCCTCCCCCCTCAAAAAAAAAACATTTGCGTTTGCGCGTTAATTTTTGGTATCTAAAAAAAGGTAACCAAAAACTTGCGATTTAGAATTTTTCTGTCCTTCTTGTGGCAAAGAATTATTATTGGTTGTGGTGTTTTTCTTCATGCAAATTAATATCAGATGGGGTGAAATCTAAACTGTATGAAACCTTTTTTCATCTATTATGCTTACCGTTAAAATAATCGTTTGGAAATCACGCTTTTTAAGCAAACCGCCTTCAAGACCAAAATTACATTAAAAAAATACAGATCAAAACTTGGTAAAAATTTGGATAACATTTTTGATAAAGGTTTTTTTTTCATGTATCTTTTGTCTTGAAGGAGGTTTATTGAAAAGCGATACTTCAAAACCAGGGCGGATCTAGGATTTTCTCGAGGGGGCGGATTTTCAAAAAATTGTAGAACATTTAGTCGACCAAATTGATTTTCCGAGCTCTCCCAAAGCATTAAAAAGACCCTGTTTTGGTCAAATTTTTTGCGCTGCAGGCAAAATTTTGAAAAAAAAACAGGCCAATAAAGGCAGTTTTAGGCACTTTTTGGAAACTTTTGACCAAAAAAATCGCGCATTTTTGGTGCGCGCTCCGCTCCCCCTTCAAATTTAATATATATTAGCACCGAAGGCGCCTTCAGAACCTTGTTAGGATCCGTCACCAAATATGGATATCTCAAAATAGTAGAAAGGGGGACCCTTTGGGTCGGCAGGGGGTCGAACCACTGAGAAAAAAGCGTCCGTCCAAACCCCCCCCCCCCCCCTAAATCCGCCCCTGTTCAAAACGATTATTCTCAAGGCTAGCCATGAAAAAATTATTCATACAGTATTTCTTCTCCGAGTCTCGTTCATTTATAGTACCGCAAGTTGCATGGACAAAAACCAGAATACAAAGTTCCTTTCCACAAGAAGGAAGGAAAATTGAGTAATTTTGTTGGTAATCTTAAATCTGTCGGAGTTTTATGTGCTACTTGGTCAGCAAACTGCCCAGGCTGGCCATTTGGTCTTTATTTTTAGATCGGGCTATAAAAATCGTTATTTGGTCTATTAATTTCTAAAAGTCTATATTGTTTATAGACCTTTCATGAATTACGTAAAAGGCGATTCCCTTTAGTACTCTTTTACGAAATCCAGTTTGCCTAATCAACCTAAAAATTTTCTCACTTTCAATTATTAATATGGATGAAAAAAAGCGACCTTTGGTCAAAAGCTTCCAAGAATCGATTTTTGAAATAGATCGACTTTTCAAATTCATTCCCGCGAATTTGTGTTATGATGTAAGTAGGTGTATATTTCTGTTTAGTTTAAAAAAAAATATTGGCCAGCCGGACAACTGACTAGCCATCTTATCAGCTTGTGATGATTTAGTATTTTGTGTGTAAAAACACCCCCCTTCAAGAAAATCAGAGATCCGCATCGGTTTAGAGCTGAGAACTGAAGCTAAGTTGTTTCGGTTGACATTAAGGCCCGTTGGTTATCTCAATCTTCAACTCTGCATCGTCTAATTAGAAATTTATTGGTTTATGAAGTAATTTCTTGTAACTGCGGGCTTTTCTGAGTGTTTAATGTTGTGGTTTCTTGTCTATACAGATGTTTGAATCACAGTTGTGCTTAAAGATAGACTTGTTCATCAGCAATGACTTCACATTTCATAACTGGGACACAACTTGATTGAATATCTACGGCTTTCTCTTTTGTCGGTTGAGCCAAAAGCTTACAGGTTGCGCAATTGCTGTTTTGTTTGGTAATTTCTCAAGTAACACCATTAAACATACCATAATTGTCACGGAACTCAACTATTCGGCTTGTTGAAGATATCGATTAAGCCAGAAATTTCTAATTTATTGAGTCATTTCTTCAGATTAGCATGTAAATGAGAAATTTTTATTATTCGTCAACTTCGGGAAAATTTGTGTATGGGAGATTTGGTTAAATTGTGATAATCCAGGACATCATCATCAGAATGGAAGCTACAGCTACAGGTTTGTGTTTTTTGATATTTCATTTTTCGATATTATTGTCTAATCAAGTAAAAAATGTACTCCGACAACATTTGACTGAAAGCTGGCCAAATTCTAGACAACTAAAGCTGTCAGAAATTGAACGGGGTTAGTTGATTGTTTTTTCTTGCACACTGAAAAAAGTCATAACAAAGCAATTAAAATAGCATAACATCATAGTTCTTCATAGTTGCAGCATGTTTTCTTTAAGTCAATGCCAGTAAGCCGATGCCAAATCCACAGCGCCTGAGCAATGGAATCGACGACCATCCACTTCCAGATGAAGTTATCGGTGGAACAGACTCGACTCAGGTGCCGGTGGCTACAGATTCAGACAGGGAGGAACTGGTTGTACATGTGAAATCAGTACAAGGTTAGGCTAATTTAGAAGGGTTCAGTTGTTGCCAACAAGTGCTCGTGCGCAATCTTTTAAGCTGGAAAAATATTTAAGCAATCAACGTCGTTACAAAAGTATATGTAGTCTTTAAACTTGATGGCTTGTATTTTGGTCTTAAGACGATTTAGCCACAAGTGGAAGGACCAACATATGAGCTGTTGAGTTGTTCACAGAGAACCGTTGTTTTTCCCCTGGTTATCAATTTTTCGGCAGTTTTTCTGGGCTGGGTAATGTTGCTTCACCCTCAAGCAACGAGCACTGATCATGGTGGGCCTCGAACATCCCTCCTTTCGATTGAGACTTCACCACCGCTCCTCTAAATTAATTGTAGAAAATTGCAAGTGGGGGAAAAAGGAAAAAGAGCCGTTATTTTCCCCACATCCGGCTCTTTTACTTTGTCCCCACATTTGAGTTTCATTTATTTTTTTTTTCATTTTCCCTTACCCTCCTCCCTATTGTTGTATCACCAGAGGAGCCGACAATTTTCAGGCTGTGGTAGCTGCATATATACATGCGCTATTGTGGGCTCTTTTTCCTTCCCCCCACCTGCAAAATTTAAATTAAAAATAAAAATTAAAAAAATTATCCAAATTAAAAATAATATCAAAATGACGGTCTAAATGGTATTTACACAAGCAAAGCTTGTGTATTGGCATGAACTTTTTTTTTCAACTAAGTCGCAAATATTGTTGCGACAAAATGTGTTCATTTTGAAAGTGTTCAGTTTGAGAAATAACCAGCTATTAAGTACAGCCAATGCTAAGGATAATAACACAGACGGATCAACCGTACAATTTCCCCCCTCTCCCCAATTTGATTTAGGGGGAGAAAATATGGATTTTTCAGGAAAGAACTGTGAGTATACCTTAGATTTATAGCAAATTAGGATTATTAAAAGACTGGTACTGCTAATGCGTCATAATTTGCTTCCGTCACTTAGCAATTATGTAGACTCATAATGGGCGTGCGTCACTTAAGAAATTTTGTAGACTCTAAGTTTTACTCATTCAGTTTTTCCCAGTAGCATTATCAGTCATATTTTTGCTTGTGTATGCGAAGTGCAACTTCGCCTCTGTGTGTAATTTGGGCTAATCGTTATAAGGAGAATGGCGGCGATGTGGTTATGTCTGTAGTTGTGGTTGCGTGGTTTCAAGGGATTTTTTTTTTTCAAATAATAACTCTATAAAAGAAGTTCTGTTTGTTTCTTGAAAGGTAGAAGAAAGACAATGGAGGACAGATACTTGGTACTGAACAACTTCCAGCCGAACGTGAGTACGAATTTCATCAAAATACATAAAATAAACAAGGATAGCCGGTTGCTGTGCTAGTTGCACAGAATGTACCGACCATAATCTTGAAAAAAAAAAGCTACAAAAAAAAACGTTTTCTTGCTTTTTCAAATTAGTGTCATTTTTTTTGGGCAATGAGATCAAAGGATCTGAACGAGAGCCTAAAACTTAGGAATAACTGATCCTCTAAGTAAAATAGACTAGATAGTATTTGTTTTGCAGATTTTTTTGAATTTTAAACGTTTTTTCTTAAATGGCGTTACAAAACTTCGATAAGTATTATTAATTATCGGAAAAATAGAAGTTTCCAGGGCCTGAATCGAAGTTTCACGGCATATTTTTCTTTAAAAAGATTATTATAAGCCAGCTCGCAAGCTTTATTTGCTTGGAATGACTAAAAATCCAAAAATTTAATTGTTTCAAAGTTTCTACCCTTTTTCAATGCAATGGTCGGAATGAAAATTACATACCACAAAGAAATCATCTCTCTTGAAGGTTTTTCTTAAAAGCGTATAAAATAAGTAATAATACTTCATAATTAACATTCCCTTTTTAATATTGTGGATGTTTTTCGAGAAATGGTCGAGTTTGTCAATTTGGTCATAGAGTAAGCCGATTATAAGCCTGCTCGCTCGCGTTATTCGTTCGAAATTAGAAGGAAAATCAAAAATGTCTAACCGATTCACGACCTTCCCGAATGCTAAGTTTCTCCCCAATTTCAATGCAATGGTCGGAATAAATATTATGTACGAGAAACCATATCGTTTCAAGAATTTTCTTAGAAGCAAAAAACCAATGTGTACAAGTGCTCAGTTTTTTTTTGAAACCTTTGAAGTTGTGATACCTGGTTACCTGAATTGACTAAACTTACACATATACTAAACTTAGATAAAGTTGAATTACCAATTTAATTCAATATTTTGTCTCAATATTTTGTCTAACAGCGCTGAATTTTTTAATACCCATTTTATTAATATTCGTCTTTTGTGTTGTAGATATTCAACATAGAGTGTATAGTGGCAGTGTTTGATGGACACGGCGGTTCCGATGCATCTCAATTCTGCCAGGACAACTTCCAAACATTCTTCATGCGTGCCTTACTACAACAACAACAACAACAGTCTCAGCGACGCAACTCAAAGTCAAGACTAAAAACAACAACAACAACACCCTCCACTACCAATGACAGCATCAATTCAATCTCAGACCAAGAAAAGATATCAACACAAACATCATCAGCATCATCTGGAAATAATGCTTTTCAGCAAGGTTAGCTGAAATTCACTGTTGACAGATTTATGGAGTGGCGAGATATTATTTTGTTATCCATTTTGCCGCCCATTCTTTTTGAAGGGAAGCTTTTTGTTTGAATTCCTCCGTATTTTTCCTACGAAAAGCAAATTGGGACCTCAAAAGTGGGTTTTGGTTATCCTCTTCGCCACAGTTGATTTCTACTCTATTGTCGACTCGTAAGATACTTTTATGGCTTGAGATAGTCATTTAATTTTGTCAACAGCGCTCAAAAGCTAACTCGCAGAACTAGTGAGGTTGCATAATAAGTATTATATAGTGATGATCAACTATAATTTTGGAGGAGTCAGGGACGTCTGGAAACACTGCAAAAGTTCTCATGATAATCTTTCAGGCTAATAATTCAATGATTTCAAATGCTTGTGTAGCAATCATTGAATTTATTTACACCAGCATGAACGCGATCAGCGTAGTGTATTAGATCGAACCTTCTTTTTTCTAATCTATCTCGCAAATAAAAGTGTTCACTTATTTGATGGTGGCACTTTTGCTATAATCAAGATCTGTATCATTACACTTGCGAAGCGAGTGTATTAGCATGAACCTTTTTTTCCAACCTAAGTCGCAAATATTTGTGCCACTTTTGGGGGACCTTTACAGATTTTTCATAGCATGTGCTTTGAAATTCGAATAGTAACAAGTAAACACATTTGATGCATTTTAAATTCATCAAAAGAGCCGAAAAAAGTTATTTGTTTCAAACAACAACAATAATAAAAACTCGATTTCAGAAAATTTCTAATTTATTACATCTCGCCTTTTTGGAATGCATATTTTATACACAATATGGCTGTATGGTTTGCGATTTGTTACACGCAAAATTAGTGTGGATGCCTTCAGTTTGTTATATTCCAAATCAGGGTGACCACTTGGTTACTAATTGGTCACTATTTTTTCAATGGTCATTAAAAGTCACTATTTACAACGGTTTTTGGTGACGGACCCTAAAATTGTCCGTTTTTTCAAATTTTTTTTTTCAAATTTTTTCAAAATGCCTAAAACTGACTTTTTCAGCCTGTTAATTCAAAATTATGGCTGCAGCGCAGAAATTTTGGCCAAAACAGGGACTTTTTAGTGCTTTGGCAGAGCTTGAAAAATTACTTCGGCCGACCTAAAAAAAAGGTCGACAAAAAATTCGAAAATTGTCATAAACACTATTTTTCTCTCAAAAAAGTGGTCACCCTGTTCCAAATTATTTCATGCAAAATTGAGTCTATATATATTGGTGCTATTTTTGCTGAATGGCATTGCCAATTTAAGAGGTTATGTAGCAGCTTTACTCGTGACTAGTCTTTGTCGGTTGTTAAGCTTGCCTGGCTAAGTGGATAGTGCGTGAGACTCAAAATCTTTTGATTGCTGTTGGTCGCAGATCGAATCCTAGACCTAGCCGAATTTTGGCCATTTCGAGGCTTATTTCTATTTTTTTTTAAATTTCAATTGAAAGAGCTGCTTTTTGGTCGTGTTCTCGCAAGTGTTTGCGAAGCTCTGCTTCGCCTCTGTGTATTATTTCAGAATCTTTCTATTTCTTTTCAGAATCATCGGGAGATACACATAAAGGGAATAGTGGACAAGCAGCAGATTCCATTTCTGAATCAACGCAACAACAGGAAGTTGCCTCTAGACTATCAGTTGAGAGCAGCTGTGAGTCTCCCGATCTATCAAACTGTCTCAGGGAAACATTTCTTGCCATAGACGAAGCTTTCGCCCGTAAATTTCCCAAAGTTAGTCTTCAAGTTCACAATTTATTTCAGTTTGGAGAAAAATGATCCAACAACTCCCGATAACATATTGAGGAAAGCAATTTTTCAATAATCTTCGTTCAGGCGGCCTTGTGTCTCTTCGCTCATTCAAGTATGTTTGAGAAAAATAAATAATTTTGTTAAATACAAGTTTTTGACATTTCCCAATTCGAGTGACCGGGAGTGTTTTTCTGACAGGATCTCTTGATTGTTCTAATATATGAATGGTTACTCAGATAAGCAATGAAAAGCAGGGTTAGGTAATGTGAACTGAAAAAGCCATAATAGGCGTTTGAAGGGAAAAATGTGAAAAGCAAAATTCTAGTGTTTCATTCAAATTTGATTTGTATTCTAAGATCGCATGCTGTGATCGTTTAGTTGGTATGACGCGTGTATGCAAGTCTGTGTTCCGGAGTTTTGTTGAATTTAGTTTTTTTTTCTGTTTAAGGGTCGATTGACGTAGTTCAGACTCTTATATATGTCGCAATTTTTTTTTTCAGGAAAAACGAGATCGACTTCTTGTTTCGAAAGTGGAATTTAATTTTCAGATTTCGCAGCTAATTGGAAAATTTTACCTATTGATCCAGTTTTCTCAAATTGGTTCAATTTTTTCGAAAAAGTGCTAGTCATAAATTTTTCTAGAAATTCAAAGAGCTTTAAGAGCTATTTTTTTTCTTTGAAATTCGAACAGTGAGATTTTTTCTAAAAAGTTTAATTGCGTTTATTGGCTATTTTACAACTGCCTGTTGGCTATGTTTCATATTAAGAAGTTGGTGGTTGAGTGCTTTTCGGATCTCTTTATAAGAAGATAATAATTATTAAGGTAATAATTAAGATAAAAACAATAATTCAGATAATAATTATTAACAAGTTTCATATTAAGAATTTGATGGGTGAGTGCTTTTAAGAATTTGATGGGTGAGATCTTTTTATTATGTGAAATATCCTTTCTGATTGGTTTCGATTTATTAATTTGAAATTATTTTGTGAATTAGTTACTCGGAGTAATTTTTTTCCAGCCTTTGTTGTTATTATTTTGACTTTTTGTCTAAAGCATAACGTTCCGAGACCAATTTAAGTCAAAATTAAGTAATAACTTTTCCCGGGAAGTTCTGAAAATAGCCACAACTAAGCCAGCGTTTTTCTACACACATTATAACACCGATAAGACGAAAATAAAGCGCTGGCCTTCAACGAGGCAACTACAACTAGTAATTGTGTTTTTTTAGAGTTCCTGTGGGTCGACTGCTATTGTGGTTGCTGTTGACAGAGAACGAAGCAGACTGGACTTCGCCAATGTGGGAGACAGTGCGGCTACAGTTCTTCGCAGAAACCGCGATGACTCATCCTCGTACCACTCGTCTCCTCCGACTAGGAATTCGACAAATCAAGAGGAGGGGGCGGAAGATGGGACAGAAGTAGTGCTGCTTAATGATATACACAACACTGAGAACGAGGTATCTTGCTCCTTTACTAAAAGCCTAATGATCTCAATGCTAAATAACCAATATTAGATACCAGGTGCTTTATTTTGGTGGATTGGTATCCTTATGCTGGCGTCCGCTTAGTGTTTTTATTAAGAACCTTCTTTTTTTCTAATCTAAGCCCGCAAATATTGGTGCCACTTTTGGGGCACCTTTACAGCTTTTTCATAACATCTGCTTTGACATTTGAATAGTAATAAGTTAACACAGTTGATGCATTTTTAATTGAGCAAATGAACCGAAAAAGTTGTTTGTTTCAAAAAACAACAATAATAAAAACTCGATTTGAGAAGTTTTCTTAACTCAATATATCTAGCATTTTTTTTGAAATGCATAATTTATACATGATGTGGCTTTATGCTTTGCGATTTGTTACTTGCAAAGTTAGTGTGGATGTCTTCAGTTTGTTATTGGCAGTTAGCTAAATCCCATTGGCAATTTATTTGCGTATGTAGCTGCTTTACTCGTGACTTGTCTTTGTCGGTGGTTAAGCGTGCGTGGCTGAGTGGTTAGTGCGTGAGACTCAAAATCTTTTGATTGCTGTTGGTCGCAGATCGAATCCTAGACCTAGCCGAATTTTGGCCATTTCGAGGCTTATTTCTATTTTTTTTTTATTTCAATTGAAAGAGCTGCTTTTTGGTCGTGTTCTCGCAAGTGTTTGCGAAGCGAAGTTTCTCTATGCAATGAATCGCATGAATGATTAAACAGTTCTCAAATGAGATATATATTGGGTTATTGGAAAATTATGTGAAAAAAAGTTGTGTGAAAAATATGTAAAATAATTTTTTTTTCTGATTTGACAAAATTACAGCGTATCTAGACAAAAAAATATTGCGATGATCGATATCCATTTAGTTCAGACGTGTTTGATGGGTAAAGGTGGAGAAATTATTAGGAGTCGTTATCTCCCGACGAATTTAAGGCAGAAACACTTTAACGATAATCCAAAATCACTTTAGAGTTGGGGCTAATTCTCAACCAGTTTACGACAAGAAGTTTTCGCGTAGAAACACTCGGAACACTTTTGAGTATTGAGAAAAAGTGTATAAAAAAGATACGATGATGAATGATGATATTATGGAGGGTCTATTTTGCTATCACCGAATCAGTTATTTTGAGGTGGGGGAGAAGGGCAGGTGAGGTAAGAGGGGTTCGATAAATAAGCACGTGAGAGTAGCCCGCTGACAGTTATCTTCTTTAGAATTACACAAGCAGAACGTAGTGTAAATACTACGATGCAACTTTTTTCTAAAGCTAAGTCGGAAATGATAGTTCTTGAAAAGTGTTTTTTATGCTTTTGCTGTTTAGCATGTATTCAATAACGATTCAATAGCATAATTTCAATTTCGCTTAATTAGTGGCATCTTACTGTTTGATAATAACGGGTCTTATGAAAATTTATGGGATTTGGTTTTTAAGCACATTTTGAAAAAATGTTGCAACTACCGGCAGTACAGATCGGCTACTCCCGTACGTGCTTGCATTCTTGACCCATTGCGTGAATTCTTGACCCATTTTTTTTGGCTTTTTTCTTCTCAAAAGTTACCCGAAGTTGTATAAAGTTTTAATCAAAAGAGCACGCACAAGGGGTGTTTACCTAACTTTTAGATGAAAAAGGTTATTACCTAAGAAAATAGGCAATTTTTGAAAGTTTGACGGTTTTTTAGAAACTTTGGACTTTTCTCGAAAACTACCCTGACAAATCTGAGATAAAGGGTTAAAACGGAAAAAGCAACAGCTAAGACGAATTTCCTAGGGATAAACAGCTACGCCTTACTTTTTTGTGGAAAGCTGGTTTAGGAATTAGAAAATGGTTATTTTTTTAAGAGTGAACGTAGTGAAGACTCTTATATACTACGTCTTGCTAATTTTTTCAGGAAAAAGTCTTAAAATATTGATGCACTTAGGTATAATGCACTTTTTGAATTCAATTGAAATTCATCTGCTTAAAATGACGTAAATAGCACTCTCCAAATACGAATTTGGAAATGATGCAAAAAAACTGTGTGCGATTTCTAGTTTCGAAAATGGAATTTAATTTTCAGATTTCCAGCGGAATAAAAACTTTACCTGTTGATCCAGTTTTCTCTAGTTGGGTTAATGTTATCAGAAAAGGGACAATCCTTAATTGTTTTAGAATATCAAAGAGCTTAAAGGGCATCCATTTTTTTCTTTGAAATTCGAAGTTGAGTTTTTTCAACTAAGTCAGTGTTTTTATGTTCACTTGCGTTCATTACTCTTTTCCTATCTTCGATTGGCTATTTTCAAATTTTGAGGGTCAAAGACTATTCTCTTAAAATGAGATAAAGGGGTCAATTGAATGAACAAACATGTGCTGGGATTTTTTTTTGCATAGCAACTAAGCCCTAGTTCTAGAGGAAAAGCAATGATGAGTCAAAAAAAGTTCATGTTTTGAAATGTTGTTCGGTTTTTGTAAGCTTTTTTCTCGAAAACTATTCTGCCAAATCTATGATTAAAAGTTCAATCGAAAGAACTTGCACTAGAAGTGTTTTCTGCATTGCGGCGACGCTCTAATATTTGTAGAAAGTCGATCTTGAACTTACGAAAATCCATTTTTATTTTTATTCGAAGTTTTTCGTCTTTCTCGAAAACTACGGTGCCAAATTAATGAAACTAATAAAACGGAGATTTTTCTCCCCTACAAAACCTTTTCTCGCGTACTTTTGATAGGAAGCAGCTTTGGATTTGAATACTGTCCAATTTTTAGCGTTTCGAAAATTACGCATTACTTCAGTACATTTCAAAATTTTGTTTACCAAACAGGTACCACCATCGTTAGCTGGGACCCTAGTTTAACTTTTGCTGAGCGGCCGTGACACAGATGCTATGACTTGTGATTTTTGATCTCGAGATCGGGGGTTCGATTCAGCCCCATTAAGAATTTTTGTTAACCTTTTCGTTCATTTTTTCACTTTTTGACCCTTTTAGAGCTTCTTTTCTCCCTTGTCTTTGCGAAGTGTAGCTTCGCCTCTGTGTAATTTTTCGTACTGATTGTGCTAACTGACCTTTTTGTCTGTTTCTTAAGAGTGAGGAGGCGAGGATAGTTGGTCTGGGTGGGTTTGTGTTTGCAGTGTCGGGCACCACCAAAAGAGTCAACGGATGTCTCACCATCACTAGGGCCATAGGTGAGTTGCATTTCTACTTGTGATACTAAAATTGTGTTAATTCAGTGGTGTTCCTAATGCGCGAAAGACCGAATACGTTGCGAAAATTGTTTCAGCCAATCAGAAATTTTCATAAATTCGAGGGAAATATGCGATAAAATCAGGCAGTTTAGGACAGTTGAAAAGTCATTGACTTGTTGAGAATTTTCAAACATTCGGTTCTTTGGGCATGAGAATACAGTGCTGATTTAAATTATCGGGACAAAACGAATAAAACTTTGAAAAATAAAACACGTTATTCTCAAATTGGGTTGATTTTAGACAAAAAAATAATGAAGACAAAAACTTGCTTCCAGCAGAATTATTATGGTGCAATTTGTTTTGCGAAATTCGGGTCCCAAATTTTATTCCGAAAACGACCATTTTTGGCTTGTTTTGCTCAATAAAAAATTACGCCAAAACTACTTAGTCGATCCTTGACATAATTATATCAACGTGACCGTCTTAGATATCCCAACAAACTATAAGAAAGGAATACTCTCGGAAAAATTTTATTAGATTAATTTAATATTGTTTGATAGACTAAAATGGTCGTTTTTACTATATAAACACCATTATTTACTTAAAATAAATTTTGAAATGATTCGCCTAATTTTTTTTGAAGATTATACTTACAATTGCTGGATCAGTGAAACAACTACGATTGAGTTAAGTGAAAGAGGAAAACCAATGCCGTGCGAGATTTTTCCATCAAGACTAACAAATTTGGGTTTTAGCAAGTTAAAACTAATATTATTCTACATATTCAGTGTTTCTTGCCTGACGATTTGACATTGAAATAAATATTAGTTCTTGTGGCTTTAGTTATCAATTCATTGATGTTATGTGCTCTCAAGCAGTCGAATCGCAGAGAATTTTTTTAATTGATTTTGAGTTGAATTTTGAATTAAAATTTCAGGTGACCTGTCGATGAAAGAGGTGATTTCGGCTGAGCCGGAGACGGAGACCTACGACATATCTCCCCAAGATAGATTTCTCCTCCTCGCCTCAGACGGCTTCTTTGACGCAGTTCCCTTCGATGAACTAGGCGCAGTCATGGACCAAGTCACACAACAGGTGGGGAAAAGAGAGCGCAGTTGAATCTATGTTGAAGGGAGTGCTGTCTGTATTTGACAAATGAGAGTTTATACTCGCCAGTTAGCAAACAATTACTATATTGACCAATCAGAATCGAGATGAGAAAGCAAGCCTTCGAAATAAATAATTATTAATTTCTTTCTTGTCTCAATTTTGATTGGTTAATATAGTATTTGTCTGCTTACTGACCTGTATGAATGCGCGGTTGTCCAAACCTGTATGAATGCGCGGTTGCAACCATGTTGAACTATTCTCAGCTATAGACTATTTCAATATAGAGAGGAAGTTTGAGTGATAGATGAAATATTACTATGAAATAACTATAAAAAAAACGAATGGTATATAAAACATAATCATGTTATAGCATAGCGCAATGTATGAAAAAGATATAGGAAAGTGACGTTTTGAAAATCTTGTCAACTTTTTTTTAAACTAGTTTGAACAAATTGTTTTCGCAGGGCTGTCTAAACTCTTGAAACGATCTTTTTAGAAATGGACCATTCAATTCGAATTTTTTTTTGCGCAACAGATGGGAACGAAATTACAGACTGCCAATTTCTACTAGACTAAGCGTATTTCATCTGTGCAATAACTGAGTTCAAATTTATCAATTGGAAACTTAATTTCTTCAATAATTTATCTGGTAGTTCTGTTTTAAGTGCCAATTAACTAAGTTAAGACACTTAAGGTTGTCCATTTTTTCATGATTTTGATTTTTTAAGATATTTTGTAATTCGCATGTTTTGTAATTACATGTTTTTCACCGATTTAAAAAATTTGTTTGGATATTACTCTAGCGAACTTAAGCGAGCGTAGTGTTATAGTACGACTATTCTTTTTTCCCCTTCCTAAGTCGCAAATATTAGGGACATTTTTGGAGCACTTTAACGGCTTTTTGATAGCATGTGCTTTGATATTAGGTTAGTAATAAGTTGACGCAGTTGATGCGTTTTTCATTGATTAAATGCAGTGAAAAAAGCAAATTTTTTCAAACAACAGCACAATATGGGTTTAACTGTGGGTCTCACGTATGGGTTTCACTGTGTTGCGCTCACAAGATCTGACATGTCGAGTCTGGAAGAATTCCAAAAAAGAGCTATCCGGTGGATAACTGACAAAATATGCCAATTACCTCAGTCAACTAAAAATGCTGAATTTGTTACCACTTTCTATGTTTCTTCGATTAAATGACATTCTTTTGTTTGCTAAATTGAGTATTGAAACTGAGTCCAATCAAATTTTACGAACTAAAAGTGAAATATTGGGAAATTTTTTAAATTAAGTAAAACGATAACAGAAAAAGCAAGAGGAGAATTCACGCTTAGAACTTGTAGAGCAATAAACAGATTGAATGATTTCACTAGATTGATGGGCTTGGAAAACAGAATTTTGAAGATGATTTGGAATTATGTCAACGTGAACTTTTCAGAAGCTGAAATCTGCAGCTAGCTAATTGTGTGTGATTGTAGTGGCTGCAGAAACTCAAGTAGGAAATTATAAAGAACTCAAATTATAAAGAAGCAATCCCATCAGCAGTAGCTGTAAATTCTATTCAACAACAACAATGAAAAAACTCGGTTTCAGAAATTTTCCAACTCAAGATATCTCCCAATATTTACCGCAATGTTTTTGAAATGCATAATTCACACATAATTTGGCTTTGTGCTTTCCAATTTATGACTTGCAAAGTTTGTGTGGATGCCCAGTTTGTTATATTCCAAATTGTTACATGCAAAATAGTGTCGATTTGTATTTGGTGACACTTTTGCTGCATGGAATTGGCAACTTATTAGCATATGTAGCTGCTTTAGTTGTGGCTAGTGTTTGCTAGTTATTAGGGCTCGTAGCGCAGATGCCATACAGGGGACTATAAATCTCCTTGTCGTAGGATCGATTCCAGGACAGCAAAAATTTCGTTTCTCAAGGATTATTTTACCTTTTTTCTAAATCACTCTATGGAGCTTTTTCTTTTCAGTTTTTCGCTAGTGTTTGCAAAGCACAGCTTCGCCTCTGCGTTAATGAAGGTAGTCAAGACATTTACATAGGTTTTGATGATTTTTATTCAGGAAAAATTTGATTTTTCATTTGTGATTTTTGATTTATTTTGTTTGTTTCGCTTGTTTCCTTTGTTAAAAAGAAGGCTAACTCCACTATTGAATAGCGAAAATGTTAATGTCACGAAAAACGTGATAGTCTTCTAATTTCGAATCTGGAATTTCCGGCTCTTTTTCCTTCCCCCCCCCCCCCCACCTGCAAATTTTTACAAGTAAGTTTGTTGACCACATTGTCCGATTGTTATGAAAATTGACACATAGACTAATTAGGCCATGACAAACATATTTGGTCTTCATAATCAACCTCGTAAAACCACTCGTTACACTAAAAAATTGAAGCTCGTCTGAGGTGGGGGGGGGGGGGAAGGAAAAAGCCGAATTTCCATATCAGATTCCCAGCGAAATAAAAATTTTACCTGTTGATCCAGTTTTCTCAACAACAGTTTGGGGTTTTTTGATCGAATATGTCTATCATAAATTGTTCTAGAAATTCTAAGAGCTTCAAGGCTGTCTTTTTTTTCTTGGAAATTCAAAAGTTGAGTTTTTTTCTTGCCTTCATTGACTCTTTCACTGACATGCGTTACTTGACTCTTTTTCAACTGTCAATTGGCTATGTTTGTACGCTTGCTTTGCACTATCTTAGCGTTTTCGACGTTTTATTATATCGGCTCAATCGTTTCGCGTTTACCGAGCGTAGGTTGTTTATAAATTTCTGAGTTTCCAAACTTATTACCATCAATCTTGTTTCGGTCTGAACTTCAGCATTCAGAAAGAATATCAGAATTTCCGTTTAATACTCACGGCTGTACGAAAATTGCATAATTTTGGATAGGTAAGGTCTTTTTTTTCTGATAACTTTGTTATAATTTTGGCTCTTTTCTTACCTTCCTCCTCTTTTAACAATTGCACTATAAAATTGTCCAGGTACCTACTAAAGAATATCCTCCTATAAAGAAAATTCTCAACGGTTAAGCATAACAGAACTTTATAACTAGTAACGAATCTCCCCCCTTTGCAAAATGGGGGTTTAAGTTGAAGAGATCCGAACTTTGGTTTGTATGGTCTAGGTTACTGAGTCGGGAGGTTGTGTGAGGAGCTGTAACTTGGCCGAACTGTTGTGTGAAGAGGCTTTGAGAAGAGACAACAGCGACAACATCACTGTGTTATGTGTTCCCCTCAAGTGAAGTACGAGGATGGGGGGTGAGAAATGGAAGGGAGAGACAAAGAAGCGATGGAACTACGTGGCACACTTACATACGAGTTTATATTCATTTTTCCTCTTGAGTTTACTCAAATATCACAACCAGCAGAAGTTCAGTTATTGAAATTCACCGTTCTGGAGAAGTTTCCTTGTGGTAAATGCTGACATCATTATCAACTATTTGTTCTTGTAAAAGTAACTTCGAAGCCTGTATACTACCGAACACAACTTTCAAATGGAGCCGAGACTACTGAATAAAAAAACTGCTTAACTGAACTTGTTTTTGGATGATTTCAAAATAATTTCATTGTTTGATAGAAGCTAAGCAAGTCGCTATGGTGTGAAGTAAAGTTTGCTCTGAATATTATGAGCGAGCAGCAATTATTTTGAGTTACCACTTTTGATGTTCAGGCAGGAGAGTTTTGAAAGGAATTGCACCCCTCTTCGAAAGGATTTTCAGCCCTCTTTGAAAAGCGAAGAATAGCTACAAAAAACCATCATTTCTTGAAAAACTTCGAAAACAGGGGAAGTTAATAAGCATGGCTCATATTTATCATCGAAAAACTACATATTTACCATTGCTGCTCTCCTGTAATGCTTTTGTGGTTTTGACTGGTGGATTTTTTTTTGGTTGACCAAAGTACTAAGTGCTGCGATATATTGGAGATAGTCCTTAATTTGATGTCCGTTGCTTTCCTTTCAAACAGAGAATTGCCAAACTATAGACAATTAAATTAGTTGTTGGTATGATGTTACGTTGAAGATTAATTCACTAATTACTACTTGATTAAATTGCTTATTTCAGTGTATTTGTGGTCGATATGTCAGAATCGGTGGTTGAGTTTGTTTTTAATCGGTGCTATTTTATTTTTAGATTTGTACCAGATGGTTGCAACAAATTAAGTGCGACTAATGATTGAAGTAAACCTAATCAAACAAAATCTTACCGATCGAACTTAGAAGTTTTTAAAAATAGCGTTTGTGATGTTGATTTGTCACATCTTAGTTTTGTATGAAAAGTGATGACCTTTCAAGTATTCCACCACCTGTTTTGATGTTTCGACCATTGCTGTAATCTCTTACCAATATCAGATGCTAGTTACCTCGTTATCTTTATATACTCCAGCTGTTTTATGTTTTAGTCTTCCTGTTTTATCAATTTCATCTGGCATTATTTTCTGCTTACCATTTTAACGACTGTTATCGTTACAGAAATATCTTAAGCCAATCAGAACTCGTTCAACTGTTCAAAACTCGTGACAAAATTTTCAAATTTTCTTAAATGCTTTTGAGTAGCCATTCAATTTTAAAATGTTTAATATTGAGTTCTGATTGGCTGATATAATTTTCACTCCTTCGGTCCTTGTGGCACGAAGGATTCACCAGACAATTTTAATTAATTCTGTCAAATTAAAATAACATAGATTTAGTTCCACAAAAAAAAACAAATAGAGTTTCAATTTTATTTTGTAATTAGATTTTCATACGGAATTGAATTTTCACACGCTAGTTTTTTTTTCCCCAGAAACATTATATGAATGCAGGAAGGCCACAGTTAATTTACAAGTTCCGAGCTTTTGCTTCATTTTTTGAAAGCGTACAATTGTTTTTCTTAGCTAAAATGTGCATCGGTATTTTTTGTCATCGATAATGCCCCCCAGCTTGTACACTTATTCTGCATGTTTGAAGTTTGGGGCTATTTTGTGAATAAAACGATTGTCTAGTTTCATTTGAAGACAGTGCAGAAAGGGGTTGAAGAAAGAATAACAATGATCATAATGCTACAATGTGAAAAACATCATTTTTAAATGAATTTCAGGCGCCTATTTCGGGTCTAAATTAATGTGAAACAGAGTTTTCAGTTAGGTTTGTTTGTGTAATCAGAAAAACGACTTAAATTCGAGGGATTTAATTTAAGTTGTTTTTCTGATTACACAAACAATCGCTTGTATTATACTGCAAGTTTCGTTTTGGAACATGGGTAGCTTATTTTGTATTTAAATTCAGCATTTAGCTTCAATGTAGAGCATGCATATAAGACAATGCTCAAAAAATCGATATCGGGGATAAAACTGGTTATTGTAATTATTCGAAAAATGCGTACTCGGTATGAAATGTTTTCAGTTAAGAAGTTTTGATGGGATTTTTACCACCCGAAGCATATCAATGCCCTGGTTTAAAAATTGAAGTGAATTTTGCCCTGCGATAGTTTTTGGGAAAATTATGGGCGTTTGAAACTTTTTTAATTTGGGGTAACTGGAGAGCAATTTATTTTGTTTTTAAGTGACCTTTGAGTTTCACTTAGAATATATATATAGAATATAGAGGTAGGGAAGGAGACCCGCAAAAAATTGGGCAGGTTCAGATGTTTTTAATGAACTTTTTGTATACTAGTTAAAATGCGTCCGCTCTATAAATTTAAGCATGTTATTGAAAAACCTGATAGTCTTCTAATTTCGAATATGGAATTTCGATATCAGATTCCCAGCGAAATAAAAATTTTACCTGTTGATCCAGTTTTCTCAACAATAGTTTGGGGTTTTTTGATCAAATATGTCTATCATAAATTGTTCTAGAAATTCTAAGAGCTTCAAGGCTGTCTATTTTTTCTTGGAAATTCAAAAGTTGAGTTTTTTTCTTGCGTTCATTGACTCTTTCACTGACTTGCGTTACTTGACTCTTTTTCAACTGTCAATTGGCTATGTTTGTACGCTTGCTTTGCACTATCTTAACGTTTTCGACGTTTTATTATATCGGCTCAATCGTTTCGCGTTTACCGAGCGTAGGTTGTTTATAAATTTCTGAGTTTCCAAACTTATTACCATCAATCTTGTTTCGGTCTGAACTTCAGCATTCAGAAAGAATATCAGAATTTCCGTTTAATACTCACGGCTGTGCGAAAATTGCATAATTTTGGATAGGTAAGGTCTTTTTTTTCTGATAACTTGGTTATAATTTTGGCTCTTTTCTTACCTTCCTCTTCTTTTAACAATTGCACTCTAAAATTGTTCAGGTACCTACTAAAGAATATCCTCCTATAAAGAAAATTATCAACGGTTAAGCATAACAGAACTTTATACCTAGTAACGAATCTCCCCCCTTTGCAAAAAGGGGGTTTTAGTTGAAGAGATCCGAACTTTGTTTTGTATGGTCTAGGTTACTGAGTCGGGAGGTTGTGTGAGGAGCTGTAACTTGGCCGAACTGTTGTGTGAAGAGGCTTTGAGAAGAGACAACAGCGACAACATTACTGTGTTATGTGTTCCCCTCAAGTGAAGTACGAGGATGGGGGGTTGAGAAATGGAAGGGAGAGACAAAGAAGCGATGGAACTACGTGGCACACTTACATACGAGTTTATATTCTTTTTTCCTCTTGAGTTTACTCAAATATTACAACCAGCAGAAGTTCAGTTATTGAAATTCACCGTTCTGGAGAAGGTTCCTTGTGGTAAATGCTGACATCATTATCAACTATTTGTTCTTGTAAAAGTAACTTCGAAGCCTGTATACTACCGAACACAACTTTCAAATGGAGCGGAGACTATTGAATAAAAAAACTGCCTAACTGAACTTGTTTTTGGATGATTTCAAAGTAATTTCATTGTTTGATAGAAGCTAAGCAAGTCGCTATGGTGTGAAGTAAAGTTTGCTCTGAATATTATGAGCGAGCAGCAATTATTTTGAGGTACCACTTTTGATGTTCAGGCAGGAGAGTTTTGAAAGGAATTGCACCCCTCTTCGAAAGGATTTTCAGCCCTCTTTGAAAAGCGAAGAATAGCTACAAAAAACCATCATTTCTTGAAAAACTTCGAAAACAGGGGAAGTTAATAAGCATGGCTCATATTTATCATCGAAAAACTACATATTTACCATTGCTGCTCTCCTGTAATGCTTTTGTGGTTTTGACTGGTGGATTTTTTTTTTTGGTTGACCAAAGTACTAAGTGCTGCGATATATTGGAGATAGTCCTTAATTTGATGTCCGTTGCTTTCCTTTCAAACAGAGAATTGCCAAACTATAGACAGTTAAATTAGTTGTTGATATGATGTTACGTTGAAGATTAATTCACTAATTACTACTTGATTAAATTGCTTATTTCAGTGTATTTGTGGTCGATATGTCAGAATCGGTGGTTGAGTTTGTTTTTAATCGGTGCTATTTTATTTTTAGATTTGTACCAGATGGTTGCAACAAATTAAGTGCGACTAATGATTGAAGTAAACCTAATCAAACAAAATCTTACCGATCGAACTTAGAAGTTTTTAAAAATAGCGTTTGTGATGTTGATTTGTCACATCTTAGTTTTGTATAAAAAGTGATGACCTTTCAAGTATTCCACCACCTGTTTTGATGTTTTGACCATTGCTGTAATCTCTTACCAATATCAGATGCTAGTTACCTCGTTATCTTTATGTAATCCAGCTGTTTTATGTTTTAGTCTTCCTGTTTTATCAATTTCATCTGGCATTATTTTCTGCTTACCATTTTGACGACTGTTATCGTTACAGAAATATCTTAAGCCAATCAGAACTCGTTCAACTGTTCAAAACTCGTGACAAAATTTTCACATTTTCTTAAATGCTTATGAATATCCATTCAATTTTAAAATGTTTAATATTGAGTTCTGATTGGCTGATATAATTTTCACTCCTTCGGTCCTTGTGGCACGAAGGATTCACCAGACAATTTTAATTAATTCTGTCAAATTAAAATAACATAGATTTAGTTCCACAAAAAAACAAATAGTTTCAATTTTATTTTGTAATTAGATTTTCATACGGAATTGAATTTTCACACGCTAGTTTTTTTCTTACCCAGAAACATTATATGAATGCAGGAAGGCCACAGTTAATTTACAAGTTCCGAGCTTTTACTTCATTTTTTGAAAGCGGGCAATTGTTTTTCTTAGCTAAAATGTGCATCGGTATTTTTTGTCATCGATACTGCCCCCCAGCTTGTACACGTATTCTGCATGTTTGTTTTTTGAGGCTATTTTGTAACAAAAAAGATGGTCTAGGTTCATTTGAAGACAGTGCAGAAAGGGGTTGAAGAAAGAAGAACAATGATCATAACGCTACAATGTCAAAAACATCATTTTTAAATGAATTTCAGGCGCATGTTTCGGGTCTAAATTAATGTGAAACAGAGTTTTCAGTTAGGTTTGTTTGTGTAATCAGAAAAACTACTTAAATTCGAGCGATTTAATTTAAGTTGTTTTTCTGATTACACAAACAATCGCTTGTATTATACTGAAAGTTTCGTTTTTGAACATGAGTAGCTTATTTTGTATTTAAATTCAGCATTTAGCTTCAATGTAGTGCATGCATTTAAGACAGTGCTCAAAAAATCGATATCGGGGATAATACTGGTTATTGTTATTATTCGAAAAATGTGTACTCGGTCTGGTATGTTTTCACTTAAGAAGTTTTGATGGGATTTTTACCACCCGTAGGATATCAATGCCCTGGTTTAAAAATTGAAGTGAATTTTGCCCTGCGATAGTTTTTGGGAAAATTAGGGCGTTTGAAACTTTTTTAATTTGGGGTAACTGGAGAGCAATGTATTTTGTTTTTAAGTGACCTTTGAGTTTCACTTAGAATATGTGAAGAGGAGTTGTAATGTTGTGAAGTGTCGGGCGTTTTTTTTTGCAACTCCTAAAAGTCGGGTGCTAGACTTGTTGCTCTTTTCCGCTTTCCCACCATCTTATGAAATAAACGATATAAAATTGTTGGAAAACTGTTCATAAGGTAATTTGCATGTAGGAAATGTTATAATCTGTCCACGTCTGCATCTCTTATTGGTTTTTTTTTTCATTCCGTACTTCATTTTTCAATCAATTTCTGACTACAAGATGTTGTTCCGATGTTTTTTATATGAAAGAATCAGAAGAGCGCAAGTATCTGGAATTGAAAACAAATTTTTTTTTGAATCATTAAGAATTTTCATTAATTTTGTCTTATCTTCGTTTTTTTTGCATTTGGGATAGTAGTTGAAGTACTCCAATTCGAACAAATTGAATTGTAAACTAAAAGATTTCATCTAGTGTATTAACTATGTTTTTTATAATTAAAAAGAGCATTTGTCAGCTTGCGGAGGTCATAATAACTCCTTGAAGCATTATTTGTGAGTTTAGTTTATATGGTTGACACTAATCTAGTTTCGTAAAACAATTCAACACAGCACGTTGCGTATGAAGAAAAACACATACTTTTAATTACCCTTGCGATAAGCAAGAGTGTTGAAATCTGGTACTGGATT